GGGGCGACCTTAATGCAATCGTACGTATATCCGGTGTATTTGTGGCACGGTGTATTTGTGTATTTATGAAGGAGGGGGAGAGGGAAAACAGGGGCTTTTGGAAAACGTGGGCTTTCGTCATTCGATTTCGGACGAGTTTCGCAGATTTTCCTAAGAAAAATTTGTTTATTGTTTATTATCGTTTAATTAATAATAATTTGAAGCTACGCGATCGAAAAAATCTGTATTAGTACCGATTGATGGATTCCGCGTGAAAATCCGACGATCGACGATCCCAATTAAGCGGAGGAGGGGAGGGGCGAACGGACGAGTGGAGGGGAGAGGGGGGGGGGGTGGGGAGCGGCAACTCCAACGATTCAGTTTTAGCTTTAAATCAAAGTTACGCCCGGCGGTGCTCGGCCCGTTAATTTACAACGTGAAATTCAATTTTCTCGGAATTTTGTCAACAATACAGTTTAACGAGAATGCGGTGGTGCGCTACAATAGAGGCGATATTTGATTTTAGCTTCTGGGACATTCCGAGCGGTTGGTGGCAGGCGAGCACGGTCACCATGGGGATCGGGGTCGCGATCGCGGTGATCGGCGCCCTTACCCTGCTCGCGGCCGCCTCCACCTTCCTCCCGCACATCCTCAAAACTCCGAGACACACCAGGGTGCTCGGCTCTCTCCAGTTGCTCGCCGGTAAGTAAGATTTGATCTGTCCCCCTCTCTCCTCCTCGTCCCCTCCAAACATCGAACGGAGGACGAATTTACAGGAACCGAAGGATATTCTCCTTTTATCGGGCTCTCCTGACGCCTGTAACCAAATATCATCGTGTTAGAGAAAGAAGAAGGGAGAAATTATGAATCGTAAGACGAAGAGCAATAATAAAGTAGATCTAGAAACGTTTACGTTTTTAAACTCTCTCTGGAAAAAAGAGATTTTGAACGCGTGGCAACGCCCTCGTAATGGATCTTGTAATAATACGTAGATACATGATGTATATGTATATATAGTTTTAAAATCGACGTGTCGATAATATACGATAATATACGTGAGATACGTTTAAACGGAGGATCCTCGAGATCTCCTCCGGCTGATCGAGGAGAGAGAGAGAGAGAGAGAGATAGAGAGAGATGCGATAATATTTTATCATTGCGTTGCGTTTTCAAAGTTTCGAAGAGAAACTCCATGGATAAACGGAGAAGAAGAGGAGAACGTTAATAGAGAAAACCGTCTACCGTTTGAAGTAGAAGGGGGGAAAGTAAGACGGCGACATCTCGTGCAAACAGTCGGACAAACGGATATTACTCGAATATAGTTCTTCCTCGAAACGTTGACGCGTTTCATTTTCTCTCTCGCGCGCCATTCCAATACGTTTTTCCCATTCCGAGCCTTGTCGTCCTCGATCTCGCGCCGATATTCACGTTGAAAAAAAAAAAAAAAAGAAAAAAAGAAAAATGGTTGGAGAGAAGAATAATTTTAATCCAATTCGTCAACCGTTATTCCCATTTTCTCGTTACAGCAGCGATGATATGCGGCGGTCTGGTCATGTATCCGATAGGATGGGACAACAGGGAGGTGCGGGAGTCTTGCGGGAAGGGTGCTAACGTGTACAATCTCGGTAAGTATCTTCTTCCCTTTCTGCCCGCACGAGTGTTGACTTTGCAAAATCGTTCATTTCGTTCCATTCCATATACTTTCTTACCGACCGAGGTATGGAAAAGAGAAGTTAGTTCTTTTACAAACGCGCGACCATTCTTTCGAATTTTCTCTCGTGATTCGAACGAATCTTCCGAAGAAAAAGAGAAAAAGAAGAAGAGCAAGAAAAAATGGAGATATTTAGGTGAAGAAAATGCCGAGAATATGTTATATGCATATGTTACAGGAAAGTGTTCCGTTTCATGGTCGAGCTATCTGCTGGTAGGCTCGGTGGCGCTGTTGATGCTGTGCTTCGGGCTGAGCTTCTGCGCCGCGCGACACAAGCCGTCCAACCCGCACACCGATCCTCTGCGCATTTGACAATCGAGATACTCTCAATCGATTCACGCCTATGCCTCGCCGAAGACGACCACCCTCTCCTTCGTCACGGTCTGTTGAGCCGTGAGGAGGGCGAGGAGAAGAAGGAACGAGAGAAGCAGCAACAGGAGGAAAAGGAGAAGCATCGAGAATCACCTCTACGAGCGTCTCATCCGGGTACGAGCACACCGCGCACACGTCACGCGACAAACCACACACACGTCGACAAGCCACGCGTCACGCACGCTTCCCACCCAACTACCCGATCGTTTTACCTTATCTTAAGAACCAAACTTTACTTCTTCCACTCGTGCGTACAGCGTTGCCACGTTTCCATCACGTTTTTTCGCGACCAACTTCTCCACGATTCGACGTGGAGGGGATATATGGGCGAGTAGCGCAAAGCGTTGGAAACCGTGCGAGATTCTCGAACGAGCATTCGATTCAAACGATTTTCATCTCCCCTCCGATTCCTCTACTTCTTCTTTTTTTTTTTTACACGATTTTTTTTTTTAACGAAAGAGCCTCCCCTCTCTACACGCTTTCGAAACTTCTGCTCGAGAGAAAGATAGAGAGAGAGAGAACAAAAAGGGAAACGTTTGGAACAGCGAATGTTTCGGACAGGTAAAGACGTACAACAGCGTTCGTTAGCCGCAAACTTCTCTCCCTGTGATCTTTGCGACTCTAGAAACTGGAGGCATCTCGTCGTTTCGGTACTTCTCTTTGATTCCCTTCTCCCTTCACCCCGCGCCTTTGCTCGAAAGACGTTAAAAACTTTCTCTCGTACGATTCGAAAAGCGCGTATTCGTATAAAGAATTTCAAAGCGAGGAAAAACGCTCCGGCGAAACGTATAAAAAGCCACGTCGATTCTTCTCCTCCCCCTAATTTGCACACGAGGCGGCGAAGCGCGCGAAAAAATGAGAGAGAAAGGGAGGAGGAGAGGAATTTTCCTCGCGAAAAATGCAGATTGTTCGGATTATTAAGTCGAAGGGGATCGAGGGGAGGAAGAGGGCGCGAAACTCGATCGATCGAAGATCGAAATCCCCGCGTTACGCGATTTCTTGGAAAAAACAACGGAGCCCTTTTGAGAAACGCCGGTGAAGCTAGAAACCCCTAACTCCTTCCATCTTCCGTCTCGTTCCGCTTTATGCGACGTGCGCGCGAGAAGAAAATATCCCCCTTCCCCTTCCTCCTTCCTTTTTTTCTTTCGCGCAATTGTTGTTATTAAACCGAGATCGAGACGATCTTTTTGGTCGTTGGAGAGCGAGAATGATTCCTCGAGAGAAAAGCGGCTTAAACGAATGGTAATTTAAATGGTAATCGGAGGAGGCGCGGGTATCACCAAGTTGAATTTAAAACGCGAAAACTCGCGCGGTTGCGGTTGAATCATTGCGGTGTTGTCGTTCCAACCTCCGCCAACACCGCGATGAAAATTATTACGGACCGTCTCTCCCTTCCTTCTCTCCAGTAGCAAGAGTATATTTCTTCGAACGAAATCGAGGCCCAGATTTTTTTTTTTTTTTTTTTTAAATCTGATCGATCTCCCTGGAAACAAGGAAGGGCAGGATCGATTTCGAGGCATCGGATTTCCGTGAGCACGAAACAGGAAAGCGCGAGTGGTTTAGTATTGGTGTAAAGCCACCACCGATGGAGTTCCATTAAGGGAGAAACGAGCGCGACTTTGGTTCCTTTTCCATCGTTTTCGGTGGACGTAGAGAGAGAGAGAGAGAGAGAGAGAGAGAGAGAGAGAGAGAGAGAGAGAGAGAGAGAGAGGCGAAAGTAGCCCCGGATATCCCGGGGCGAATAGTTATCGACGAAAGTCGGTATGAAACAAAAGTTGGAAAACTCGTTCGCCCGCGACTCATCCCCCTCCCCTCTCTCGAGTTCTTCATTCTCTTCGCCGTTTCGACCTGTTGCCAGAATTCCTTGCTTTCGAGCAAAGTCGCGAAATATTAGGATATTCCCGATTTCGACCACCGAGTTTTTTTCCCATTCTCGAGGTCAGGACGAGATGCGCGCAATTTCCAAATAGTTCTCCTCGCCGCACCGGATCAAATTTTCCTTTGTTAAGCGGCCTCCACGCGATGTTTCCCGCCCAACGATCAAATTCGAGACGCGCGGTTTAACTTTCCATCCTTACTTTCCTAACTTCCTAACTTTCGTGAGAGAGAGAGAGAGAGAGAGAGAGAGATCGTTCTCCGAAAGAATTCTCGTTCGATCTTTTTCTCGTTCCGCTTCAACGAACAATTAAAACGAGCTTCGTAACTTGGAATATACAGTGGATAACGAAAATATTCGAATGCTTATATTTGCAATTTTTGATGAACGAAATATACATATGAAAGGAACAACAACTTATTTAAGATAATGTATAATAGGAAAGAAATTTCAAGATTACGTCGATAAAATTTAAAAATGATTCACCGATTTATACGATAGTTATAATACGTTTATTATATACATGTGTTATTAGATTGCAAAAGTATTCGAACGCTGGTAGCGTTTATACGTTCAGTCGAGTTATCGTTTAATTAACAATAACGTGAAAGTGTGCGATATGATATTCAAGATGAATCCGTAAAAGTGTGAAACACAAAAATGAAACGAACGAGAAACTATCCTTTGGCTGCATAAAGGAATGGGAAAATATATCGTATAGCGAGATAGGAAAAATTGTAAACGGAAGTAAATCTATGGTACGTTACATCATAAGAGAAATGAAAAAAATTTAAAGGAACGGTTGCGAATAAAGCTGTATATAGACCGGACTCGAGAGAGGGCCGAAGATGGAACGATGTCCAATTAGACGGTCGGAGGTGGATCGATGGAGAAAAGCGATTACGTAATTTTAAACGAAAGGTGAAAGAGGAGGAGGATTCGAAAATCAGGATCAACCTTCGTTTTCGTCGACAGCGAGATC